AATCCAGAGTTTTATTTAAATTTTTTCTAATTTATAAAGGTGGTTCTAAGGGTCCTGTGGTTGAGTAATGATGCACTCAGTGAATATATTAAGCCGTCTAAACATGAGAATTCTACTTTTACTCATCCTTCTGTATGTATATAATGCAGAGGACTGGCTAGGAGATAAACTCTATAGAAATAACTTGAAATTTTCAGTGATTAAAAAATAATACTCCAGTTCAATCCAAATGAATTTATTGGGAAAATTATACTTTATTGGGAAGAATTTACTTAGTGAATAAATGAATCCTTCCCTAAATTTTTTTAGATGGGTCATCAGAGTTGAAAGCATTGCTTCTCCAGATTCTTCCAGAGACCATGAGAAGCGGACATGTGCATGATCACCTAATGGGAGCTAAAATATATATACATAATAATTTCTCCTTCCTATTCCCAAATACCTTTCTCAATTTTCCATTCCTATAATTACTATAAGAACTTCAGCGTCAGATGTATAACCACTTACTTAAGGTAAAATGTACCTCAGCTGGAGCCAGATGTTACATTTTGTCTGCCTTTTTTATTGGAGTCAGGCTTGTCCTAAAACATGGTTTGTGTTTTAACATTGTTTGGCCAAGTGCCTGCTTTGTACTCCAGCAGCATCGATCTCTACGCTTCCTTTTGGTCCTCATGCCTGAATGGAAGGCCTCAGCAGGACCCCAGTCCCCTGGTTCATTACTGCTTTTCCAGTGTCTGCCCATCAAACTTTGTTTAGCCTTGCTGAACTTTAAGTATCCTTTAAACGCTTGCCTTGGCTTTCTTACCTTAATCAATCTACATCTCAGTTCCTGTTAGTTGGTCTAAACATTTAAATTCTCATGTTCCATTTCCTTCAATTAATAAAAGGAAATCAATTTAATTGCCACATAGCACTACAATTTCTATTCTTCATGCTGTAAAATTTCTTCTCTTAGAGACCAAGAAGATATCTATTCTTACTAGTGACCATACTGGTAGGGTTTAATATGCAAATAGTAAAGGCTACTTAATAAGAAAATTATAATCACATTTTTAATGAATGTTAATAATCACTGATAAAATATTAAGAATCATAGTTTAGTTTCAGTACTAAGAAAAAATTATGACTCACCTAACCAAAACATATTTTTATTTTTATTCATTCATATTTTATTATTATTTTTAAAGATTTATTTACTTATTTATACAAAGAAGAACTGGGGTATAGGCCAGAGGTGTGGGGGGTGAGAGGATTCACCAGAGATAGAGTGAGGAGCAGAACAGGCAGATCCACTGAAATACACTGCTGAGAGGAGCAGTGGGTGAGACAGGAGAGGTCTGCGGTACCATATGGGTAGCTCCCTGGCTGGGGATTACACTTAGGCTGAAGCAATGACAGTGCTAAGACTTAATCCCCAGGCTACCAGAGAGGCCCCAAAATATATATCACGAAACCAAAAGAGAAGAAATACAGTAAGCATTAGCAGCCATTAGTGATCCAGCAATCATTCATCTGTTTGCTCTTCCTATCCCTCCTCAATGACCCACACTGTTCCACAGGCAGCTTCTGCAGTATCTGTGTATCCCCATTCTTTTCTTCATTTATTCTTCTTTTTCTCTAAAAGTCCTTCATTTTCTGCTTTTGATTACACATGATCACTTCAACCTAATCTTCGTGGCCTCTTTCTTTCCAAACACATACTGAGTATGTGAATGCTAATTCTAAAGTCTTTACAGAAACCAATGAATTGAATTATCTCTGTGTAGGTGTCCCTCTGGTACAATTAAGCAGTGGTTATGGATCAGCAAGTTGTCTCATCAGTAAGAGTTTGTAAGGACATTTGCAGAAAGAAGAGAATCAGATTCCCTGGTATGACTATAAATAACACTGCTTGGTAACTATAACATTTAAAGCTAGGCTCCAGATTTTCATTGCATTGAAATAACTACATTTGCATGGTCTTCACATTGGTTTTATGTATACCTTTCTACCTGCAACAACATATAAAAAATAAATATTTGAATGTGATATAGCTATGTCAAGCTGATAAGATTTCCTCTTCTGTTGCAAGAACTCACTTCTAAGCAGAATTTTCTCATTTTCATTTTCTAAGCATTTACTGTCATTCAGTAGGTAAGATCACTTCAAGATCACTTTTAAAATGCAATTTTGCTACAGTTAATAGTACAAGACTGGGCCTTCCAGGTGGCCAAGAGGTTAAGTCGCAACACTATCATCTGTACAGCCTGAGTTCGATCCCTGGCCAGTGAGCTAATACAAATATGGCACAACAGACCTCCTCTGACTTGCCCACTGCTGCCCTCAGCAGTGTATTTCAGTAGATCTGCTTGCTCCCCATTCTGTCTCTGATGAATCCTCTTACCTACCGACCACACCTCTGGCCTATACCCCACTTTTACTACGCAAAAAAAAAAAAAAAAAAAAAAAAAAAAAATTCCAGTAGAGGTCCAAGTCATTTATGTTATTTGTATGCTTCTCTAATTCAATGGTTCTGAAATTTAGCAAATGTGAAAATCACTTGAAGGAGGGTTTGTTGTAACATATATTGCTGGGTTGCATCCTCAGAGCTTCTGATTAGCAGCCCCAAGTAGGGCCTGAGAATTTGAATTTCAAACAAGTTCTCAACTGATGTTTATCTTGTAGATTTGAAAATTACATTTTTAAGAACTAAGGTCTAACTTTTTCCCAACAGAGATCAAGGGGCTATGTTCCATTGCTTCCCACCTATATTATATCCCTATCCTAAAATCTTTGAGCTAATAAATTGCAAAGGACTTTTTTTTTTGTGGGACCCTTGCCAGTGGACAGGAACGAAACGGTGCTTCAGAGGCTGCGGGCAGCCTTGCAGCCCAGCGCTCAACCGCTGCACCACCAGGGGAGGCCCAAATTGCAAAGGACTTTTAAGAAAGTCCTGTCTTTACCATACTTGTTCATACCACAGTATGAGTTTAACTCCTTTCAAGTACCACCTGCATTGTTATGTCCTTACTATCTTAATGAAAACTTGATTTTTTGCAACACCATGGATGGAGTTTAAGGGGATTGGGACAAGTAAATTTAAGTCAGAAGGAGAAAGAAAAATATTATATGATTTAATTCCTATGTGGAATACAGAAAAATAAAACAAAGGAATGGACAAAACTAAATAAAAACAAGCCCTAGGAATATGACTGCAGAAATGAGTTTGCAAGAGGGGTAAGGTAGAGGTGGGGAATAAAAGGAAGAGGGGGTCCAATGATGTATGGTGAACTCTGGGTGCCTTGTTGGTGGTTGTGGTAGCATACATCTGATGAGGTGTGAACCTATTCCCCTAAATAATACACAGTGTTATAAACTAATGCTTCCTCAATAAAAGTTACAGGGGGGAAAATGTCACTTATATATGGAAAAGAAACATCTTATGTCTTTAATTGAAGTTAACTTTTGAGGCCCTGGTGGCACAAGGGGGTATGTCTCAGCATTATGAAGCTATCTGCAGCCACTGAAGCTGGAGTTCGATCCCCAGACAGTGAGCTACCCACATGTTACAGCAGACCTCTCCTGCCTCTCCCGCTGCTACCCTCAGCAGTGTATTTCAGTCAATCTGCCTGTTCTGCTCCCCATTTTCTCTGGTGAATTCTCTCACTTCCTCCCTGCACCTCTGGCCTACACTCCAGCTCTTGTATGCATAAACAAATCTCTAAAAAAGAAAATATTTTAAATGTCACTTCATTTAAAAAGTAACGAATATCATGATAAATCCTTTAAATTGTGCATATGCAAACATATTCCGTGAGAATGCAAAATATTTTTTTTTTTTTTTTTTTTTTTTTTTTTATAGAGGCATGCTTTATTTATTTGTTTGCTGGTTTCTTTGTTTGTTTTGTTTATACATGCACTGGGTACAGTCAGAAGCGCGGGAGGGCGAGAGAATTCACCAGAGCCAGAGCGGGGAGCAGAGCAGGCAGAAGGACCGAAGTACACTGCTGAGGGGAGCAGCGGGCGGCAGGAGAGGTCTGCGCGCCATGTGGGACCCTCCTCCGGTGGCCGGGGAGCAGCCGGGGATCGAACAGGCGCCGCAGAGGCCGCGCGCAGCTTCGCAACCCAGCGCTCAACCGCTGCGCCACCGGGGAGGCCCAGAATGCAAAATATTTTTGATTCATTAAGTAAAGAATAATTATCTCAATGTCAATTTACTTAAGATAGAGTAGGTAGTTGACATCATTATGTTAATTCCATTTTTAGTTGTGATATTTGTTTCTTCTATTGAATCCCAAAGCACATTTGCATGTATCTAAAAGTACAGAAAAAGTCTCAGAACTTTCTTCGAAATGGCTGGATATTAATAATTACTCCTACTGTTATGAGTTATTTTATTTAACTCCAGAATTTTAAGTTCAAGCTATCTCCAGAAGTTGTTCTGAATTTTCTAACATCTGCATTGCAAAGGGAAAACAAAGGCTAGGTTTCTTCTTCTAGTTCTTTAAAGACTTACGTAAACTGATATATTAGAAATCGTGCTCAAGCATGCCTTCACTGAATTAGCTAGTAAATTTATAATCAGTTTCTTTGAAAAGAATATTTTTATAATAATTCAGTGAATGAATACAGCTCATGGGCCCTCTCTCAAGTCACTTTATGTACCATGTTAATCACAGTAAAAGGAACAGACACCATGCACTGAGTGATCTATATAAAGTACATTTTAAGTCTCACAAAACTTATGAAGTTCACATTTTTGGAGATGCCTACCACTGGTTTTCTAGAAAAGAGCAAGACAGTCCCTGGGCCTGCATTAGTGCCTGTCCTTTTGGGATAAGTGTAAATGAGTATCCTGTGTGGAGACATCAGAGATTCACACTTAGAAATATAAATTCTGGTAACCCTAACCCTTGACTCTCCTATTTCCTTCCCCTACCACTTCTGCTTCCACTGGGTCAACTAATAGATATTATTTTCTTTAGGAATCACTAGTTTGAATCCACTCTTTTGTTTTACAGGTGAAGAATGTATTTTTCCTCTCACTGATGTAACTGATCTGAAGAAGAAAAAAAAAAAGGAGCTGGTGAAAGAAGATGAGGAGGAGGATATCTAAATATCATTAAAATGTAGAAAAACTTGTATTAAATTTACCAATTAACATACCCCAAATTTGTGCAGATACGTAAAAATTCATATGAAAGTGTCTTTTGTGAAAATAATCACAGTATTGTTTAAAAAGAGCTATCCAGTCCAGCAGTATCTGCTGTATCATTTACCAGCTACCTGCTGGATAGAAGATAATTGATCTCTTGTGCCTTAGTTTCTCAACCTGTGAAATCATAATTCTAGCACCTGCTTCTCTTCTGCATGTACATTGTGGCCCATAAAACTGCACAGTGACATTTCTTGAGACACTCCTGGGAGCAAAGACAAAAAGTGGAAACACTCTAATGCCTAGTGTTAATGTTCTGAGGTCTGCCAAGGTTATAGGGTCAAATGTGTGAAAAGCTCTCTAGTGGAGGGAATCTCACACTGTCTTTAGTTTACCTATTTTAATTAGTTGACTAAAAGTGGGTCAGATACAGCTAGTGTTATATATAACAAAGGGCCTTAAGATTCTTGAGGTGCCTCAATTTACTTAGGGAGTTGGGATATATTAATGTTAGCATACCACTTGGACACTGGTCTCCCTGCACCAGGAGTCCCAGCTCCCTGTCAAACCCTCCGCAGAAGGCAAGGAGAGAGACTCATCATTAATGGACAAAAAGAACATTCATTCCTTAACCTCATAAGAATTTCCTAAGTATTAAACCATAAAACATGCAAAAACACTTAGAACATAGTCAAAACACATAAGTGCTTAATGCCAATTATTTATTTCACTGTCTATAGTGTATAAAGAGAGCATTATGAAATATGCTATTTGTGCTTTTTGTTTTTCTTGTCTTTAATATGAAATACGTGTGATTATAAATCCAGTTTTAGGACATAGAATAATTGGTTACTGTTACTACTACTACTACTACTACTACTACTACTACTACTACTACTACTATTACTACTACTACTACTACTACCACCACCACCACCACCACTGCTTCAAAAGATTCATGTCCCAGGTCACAAAGTTCATTGGAAAACTAGCCTATCAAACTTCAAGGTGATATTATTCCCTAAAACATGAAATGTTATGGATCATTCACAACATTTCTGGAGATTTATACAGACTGGAGTAGCCTCATACTGCAGTTCATTCAGCTGAACTGTGAAAATTTTACAAATGCATACTTAAAAAAAAAAAAAATTTGCAAGTGACACTATTGTGAAAATGATTTGGAAATTATTGTGATACATTGCCTGTAGGTGAGGAAGGAGTGATCATCAAAGTTATCATCAAAAATAGATATTTGGGAGGAAAGGTAATATCAAAGGGAAAACAAATCAGAAATATACCTGTAATGACATATTACAGGTAACACAAAATAGGAATATAACTGTAGTGGCAGGAAGGCCACTGAGCAGGTTTTCTATGACCTAGCAGACGGGGTAAAGAAGGAGAGAGTGAATCCTGGAGCCCTCAGTGGCTTTTGCAGGCTTTTATTGGGATTTACCAGGCATATGGCAGGCAGGGATGCTAGGGGGCTGGGAGGCCTCCCAGCCCCCAGCAAATCTTTACTCTTTCTGGGCTCTCTGGCATTCTCTGACATTCTCTCTGCTTCTCTATGCTTCTGCTCTGTCGTGGTTCTGCTTCTGCTTCTCTGCTTCTTCTTCTCTGTTTCTGCTGGTGTCCCCGTGATGCCACCATTAAAAGCCCAGTCTTAGCCCAGGTGAATCCTATCTACATATGCCCACACCCTATTCCAGGTGCCCGCCATCAGGCATGCATTCAGGACCTCAGGGTTCCATCATCTATCCTAATAACGGGAGGGCCGAAAAGCCTAATACTTTTACCTTACCCTACAATAACAAATGATTAGATTTTGTACAGCTTGAAGATTTACTGAGTCAAAATTTGGGACCCTTTTCATAAACTCATAGATCTCATTAAGCTAGAGACAAAATTTAAAGACTGGTGTGTTTCCAGGTGGGATCAGGTAAGCACCAAATTACAGGTGGGTAGTGTTATAAGCAAAGGCAGGAGGGAGAAAGAGATCTAAGACCTGAATATGTTTCACTCTACACTTCTTCAACATGACAGGCATCCATTCAAACCTATTTTCACTGGATCATCATACAAACAAACACTGCTAGTGAAATTTGCAATCAATTGTTAAAACTGCCTTCCTGACTTCAGGTGTAGAATAGCTGTAGTGGAGCATAAATCAAAGACGGCAAATAAAAGGAAAGTAAGGGAAAGTAAGAGGGCAGATGAAGACAAACTTTCCCATCTTCAAAGCGTTGCCAAGGACCACCATCTTCACAAGACTCATGATAAAGAATCAGTGGAGGATGGGCCTCCCTGGTGGCGCAGTGGGTTGAGCGCTGCACTGTGAAGCTGTCTGCAGCTTCTGCAGCATGGGTTCGATTCCTGGCCACCAGGGAGATTCCCACATGGTGCAGCAGACCTCTTCTGTCTCGCCCGCTGCTCCCCGCAACAGTATATTTCGTCAGACAGCCTGTTCTGCTCCCCGCTCTGTCTCTGGTGAATCCTCTCACCTTCCCACACCTTTGGCCTGTACCCCAGCTATTGTATAAATAAAAAATAAATCTTAAAAATAAATAACTAATCAGTGCAGGACAAATATGTAGGTAGATATTATTATCTCTAATTTCTTTCACCATCTATTTTATTGTATTCCAACACACAGTAACTATGCTTTAATAAATTTTTTTCATAAAAGAAGACATTGTCTTAGCCTATGTAAAGAATGGTGATTTTTCTGCCCTTTTGTGAAATTGATAACATTTTTCTTGTAAGGTTGTTTTTGCAACTTGATATTATGTTTATTCTAGGTGATATTTACAAATAGCAATTGTCTCTGATGGCAATTGATCCTACTCTATTATATAAATCACATGAATTCTAACTTATCTCAGTGATTTGAGATTTGATTGTCATCTGTAAACAACTTTTAAAACTTTCTCAATTTTGTGAATGCTTCTGAGCTACATATTCAATAAAAACCACCATCACAGAAATAATGAAGCTTGGTAGAGGGAAAGACCCAGCTTACATGCCACCGTGGAGCTGGTTTATTTTAGAGACAGAGGGATTACTACATTCAACTTCCTTTCTTTGAGTAAAACAGTGTTGCCATGGTTTTTTGTATCCCTAGTTACACATCTGCATGAAAAGAAAAAAAAATTCACAGAAAGTATATCCAAGGAAACAGAAAACTATGATAAAACAATGGGTACTCAAAATGTGAAAAAACCTTGAATATACCACATATTCCTCCCACTACCTCCTCTTGGCCAGAACCCCAAATTACCCAAACACTTTGAACAGCACTGTGATAGGAGTTTAAATCCAAATTGATTTATTTGAAATTTAAAAACACTATAGCTTAAACAAGAACTATTTCACATATTCTGATAAAAAATAAATAAGCTTGTCAGAGCAATTTGTTTGAGAGGAAACTAATTGAAAAATAGCATGTAATGGAGCCAATATTGACTGACTCCCTGGCATACCTCCACTCTTCCATTCCCATCATGGTTTTGTTCACAGCAATGTTAGAAATAATGACCTGGAGCTTTGGTCTGAAATCACCAAAGAAATCTTTCACCCTTCTCACTAAAATTGTCATATGAAATATATTCATTTAGTCTTTAATATATTTGTGCAATTGGCTTACTGTTGGAAATTCAAAATATGGAACTCTGTAAGTTTTCAAAACTTATCTTAAATGTTTTAACAATGGCAATATCTATTTGTTTAGTCCAAGATTATTCCCCATAACGTAATAGTACAATCTGCTAGATGTTTAGAAGCATTGTTTCATTTATTTATTTATTTATAAGATTTATTTATTTATTTATTTATACCAGAACCGGGGTACAGGCCAGATGCACGGGAGAGTGAGAGGATTCACCAGAGACAGAGTGGGGAACAGAACAGGCAGACTGATGAAATACACTGCTGAGGGGAGCAGCAGGCAAAGCAAGAAAGGTCTGCTGCGCCATGTGGGACACTCGCTGGCTGGCAGGGATCAAACCGGCACTGTAGAGGCTGTGGACAGCCTCACAGTGCAGGGCTCAACCACCTGCGCCACCAGGGGAGGCCCTAGAAGCATTGTTTTAAAGTAGGGTTACTTGCCTTCCAGTTTTAATACTGTCAGTTACTACCTATGATCATAGTTTTCTTATCATAAATGGGGAAAAGGAATATCAGACTCAAGGTTTTAGCATGTTTGGCTAATATGATGTATTAAATAATTAATCGATGATTACCAAAATAATTATCTTTTAAGATAGTATTATGTAATTGTAACCATGACATCCAATGGTTATATTACAGAATGTTTATTATATAACATATAGTTGATGAACTAAATTCAAATCTTAGCCCTGCTATATAGTTGTTTCGGAAACTTCAAGTTAAATTACTTGATCCATGGCTAACTCATCTGTGGAGTGGACATATTTACAAATACCAATTTCATAGGCTAGTCATAAAAAATAATAATGTAACCGAAGAGCCTCCTATAGCTCCTGACACATAGTAAATTTCTTTATGCGGTTTATAAAAGCAGCTTTTGCCAAAATTAGGTTATAGCAATGATCTATTTAAAAAAAAAAAAAAAGTTCCCTGCACCATGTCAGGTTTTCAGTCAAATTTTGGTGAAGACAATTTTTGAAATAAACACAATTTATCACTTGGTAGGTGATAAAATGTACACCATTTAGTCATTGTAGGGGCTCAAATATGCCTCTTCGGCTTATTGATTATTTTAGATTAACATTACTTAAAAAGCAGCTGGTAAAAAAGAACACTCTGACCCATTATGTCCTAAAAAATCCCCCCCAAAACAGGAAATAAACCTCCCATATAAAAGGTACCAGGAGGTAGAGAGATATACTTACTGCCAGAGATAAGATTCAGGGTCAAAAAAAAAAAAGCTGTGTGAATAAACTACTTTGTGATCTTGCTAATTAAACTCAAGCTTAAAGGTTTGTGAGTTATTTTCTTCCTTTTTATCCTGACAGTTCTTTACAAATTTATTGTTTCTTTGTCAAAAAGATATATAAGTGGGCTCTTCTGGTCATTTCACAGGCCCACAGTCATGAGACTTCTGTAGGTGTAAGACGGATTTTTTTCTTTTGTTAAACTGTGTTGTGTGAATTTAACTGTTAGACCAGCCACAGACTTAGAAGAAAAAGAAGAGAGAAGTCGCTCCACCCCATATTATACTTGTGTCACCTCTGTATTAAGGAAGGTACAAGTTTACCATCTTTATCCTTAAGGTGTAAAGTAGGAGATTCATGAACATGGAATCCCCTTCTTTCCCTGCATCGTATTTGAAGACTGAAGAATATTTCAGATAGAAACAAAGGTTTTTTGAGTGAGTTAGAAATAAAGACAAAATAATGT